TTTTCAGACAATTTTGGAAATTTCGAATATTCGAACTTAAGTTCGAAATTGATATAATGTCACCAAATGACCTTATTTTTATAGAAAATTTATAACAATCAATATCTTTAAGTAATTCTAAACGTTTTGCGTAATTTTTTGGAAATTTCGAAAATTCGAACTTAATTTCGAATTTTCAATTTTGTTTGAAAATTATGTGAACTATTCTAATTCGTTAATATGGTCATTTGGAATATAATTAATGCTTTTTGGCTTATTTTTAAAGATTTTGGGACAATATCAAAAATTCGAATTTAATTTCGAAATTTAAATTTTGTTCGAAAATGACAAAAAATTTTAATTTTCGTGAATAAAAATAGTTTTGAGAGCTTGTGTTACAAATTTAATAATTTTTGTCCATTTTTAATGATTTTGGGACAATTTCGAAAATTCGAACATAAGTTCGAAATTCCAGTTTTGTTAGAAAATCACCTATAATGTTAAAATTCCTCTATTTTATGGTCTTTTAAAACATATTTAATGATTTTTGTAAATTTTTAAAGATTTTGGGACATTTTCGAAAATTCGAACTTAATTTCGAAATTCTAATTTTGTTCGAAAATGACAAAAAATTTAAATTTTTCATGATTGAAAATATTTTTGAAAGCTTGTGTTACAAATTTAATAATTTTTGTCCATTTTTAATGATTTTGGGAAATTTCGAAAATTCGAACTTAATTTCGAAATTCCAATTTTGTTAGAAAATCACCTAAGATGTTCAAATTCATTTATTTTATAGTCTTTTAGGACATTTTTAATGATTTTCGTTAATTTTTAACAATTTTGGGACATTTTCGAAAATTCGAACTTAGGTTTGAAATTCTAATTTTGTTCGAAAATGACAAACAATTTAAATTTTTCATGATTGAAAATAATTTTGAGAACTTGTGTTACAAATTTAATAATTTTTGTCCATTTTTAATGATTCTGGGACATTTTCGAAAATTCGAACATAAGTTCGAAAATCTTATTTTGTTCGAAAATCAACTAAAATGTTCAAATTTCTTCATATTATGGTCTTTTAGGACATATTTCATGATTTTTGTCAATTTTTAATGGTTTTGGGACAATTTCGAACTTAAGTTCGAAGTTACTATTTTGTTCGAAAATCGCCTAAAATGTTCAAATTCCTTAACTTTATGGTCTTTTAGAACGTATTTAAATGATTTTTTTAGCAATTTTTAAAGATTTTGGGAAATTTCGAATATTCGAACTTAAGTTCGAAATTCTAATTTTGTTCGAAAATCGTCTATAATGTTAAAATTATTTTATTTTATGGTCTTTTAAAACATATTTAATGATTTTTGACAATTTTTAATGATTTTGGGACAATTTCGAAAATTCGAACTTAAGTTCGAAATTCCAATTCTGTGCGAAAATCAAGTAAAATTTTCAAATTCCTTTACTTTATGGTCTTTTAGAACGTACTTAATGATTTTTAGCAATTTTTAAAGATTTTGGGACATTTTCGAAAACTCAAACTTAAGTTCGAAATTTCAATTTAGTTCGAACTTTACAAAAAATTTTAAATTTCTTTTATTGTTAATGATGAGGACTTTTTTTGGGTCAAATAAAATTACTTTTGCACAATTTTTTGGAATTTCGAAAATTCGAACTTAAGTTCGAAAATTCAATTTTGTACGAAAATTACCAAAATTTTAACATTTGGTTTATATTAAGGACATTTGCAACATATTTAATGAATATTGAACAATTTTTTGGAATTTCTATAAAATTTTTATTTGAAATTTAGACAAAATTTATGTTTTACACTGTTTTTTCTTACGTTTTCAAAATTTTCTTTTAAAATATAAAAGTTTTGTTTATTTTTTTAGAAATAATAATAATCTTTTTTGCTTAAATTTATAATGAAACCTTTTGCATCATTTTAAACTTATTGTTGTTGCTATTTTATTTTATTTTATTTTATTTAAAAATTATAAAACATTTTTAAGCTAAATTGAATTAATTTTTTTATAATTTTTATCACAATTAAAGTGTTTGTTTTTGCAAATTTTTTTCACTTAACTTTTGGTCTAAAAACTAAATAATTTTTAACATAAAAAACATTACTTAATAGAAAATATTAACAATAGAGCATTTATTTTGTACTTAAAATTAATTAAATATTTTTAAAAACTTTATAAAGTTTTCAAACTAAATTAAAATTTTAAAAATTAATGTAAAAATTAAAAAAAAGTTTTAGTTGTCTTTTTTTAAAGTTTAACTATTTTGTTTTGTTTAGTGTTTATTTTGTTTTAACGATTGTCTTTTATATTTAAAATAAAAATATTTTATAAGTATAACACTAAGGAGTAATAAAAGAGGGTTAGGTGTAAAGTATTGATTAGCAAAATTAAGCTAAGAGATCAACATATTAAAAAGAGTATTAAAAAATGAGAGTTCTTTAACAAACACACAAAAAGTTTCAACTCTCAATTGCTGTCTAGCCAAAACTCTTTGCTTAGGTGTCTTTGAATACACATTAGCAAAAAACTCTCTTAGTTTCTTTCTACTGTTCTTGTATTTAAAATTAAAAAAAATCTAAACTATTTTCCTACAATTTAAACTTAATTTTTAACCAAATTTTGGGATTTTTTTTTTAATAAAAAATGTTTTTTTTTTATTTTCAACAATTTTTCTTTTTTAAATTAAATTATTTTTAGTTTAACTTGTATTCTCTTTAATATTTATAGTATTTATTGCTTATGTTTTATTTGTTTTAATTTTTTATATTTAATTATTTTTTTATATTTTTTTCAATCAAATTTTATTTTAGTTATTTTTTACTGAAAAAAAGGACGGGTGGCAACACAAGTTTTATTTCTTTTCAATACGTTTTTGTTTCTGTTAAAAATTTTATAATTTTAATTAATTTTTCTTGTTACTTTGTTTTGTTATTGGCAGTAATTGTGTATTTTTTAGCTGTTAGAGGGGAAAATTGGAAAAAAACTAAATTTGGTAAAAATAAAATTAATTTTAAGATAAAAACTGGTTAAAATTTCACAAAACATAACAAAATTAATTTGAACGAACTAGCACATAACCAGATTAAAACTAGAACAGAACTAGAACTGAACTAGAACTCAACTAGAACTGAACTAGAACTGAACTAGAACTGAACTAGAACTGAACTAGAACTGAACTAGAACTGAACTAGAACTGAACTAGAACTGAACTAGAACTGAACTAGAACAGAACTAGAACAGAACTAGAACAGAACTAGAACAGAACTAGAACAGAACTAGAACAGAACTAGAACAGAACTAGAACAGAACTAGAACAGAACTAGAACAGAACTAGAACAGAACTAGAACAGAACTAGAACAGAACTAGAACAGAACTAGAACAGAACTAGAAGAGAACTAGAACTGAACTAGAACTGAACTAGACTAGAACTGAACTAGAACAGAACTAGAACAGAACAAGAACATAACAAGAACAGAACTAGAACAGAACTAGAACAGAACTAGAACAGAACTAGAACAGAACTAGAACAGAACTAGAACAGAACTAGAACAGAACTAGAACTAGAACAGAACTAGAACAGAACTAGAACAGAACTAAAACTGAACTAGAACAGAACTAGAACAGAACTTGAACTGAACTAGAACAGAACTAGAACAGAACTTGAACAGAACTAGAACAGAACTAGAACAGAACTAGAACAGAACTAGAACAGAACTAGAACAAAACTAGAACAGAACTAGAACAGAGCTAGAACAGAACTAGAACAGAACTAGAACAGAACTAGAACAGAACAGAACAGAACTAGTAGAGAACTAGAGCAGAACTAGAACAGAACTAGAAGAGAACTAGAACTGAACTAGAACTGAACTAGACTAGAACTGAACTAGAACTGAACTAGAACAGAACTAGAACAGAACAAGAACATAACAAGAACAGAACAAGAACAGAACTAGAACAGAACTAGAACAGAACTAGAACAGAACTAGAACAGAACTAGAACAGAACTAGAACAGAACTAGAACAGAACTAGAACAGAACTAGAACAGAACTAGAACAGAACTAGAACAGAACTAAAACAGAACTAGAACAGAACTAGAACAGAACTTGAACAGAACTAGAACAGAACTAGAACAGAACTTGAACAGAACTAGAACAGAACTAGAACAGAACTAGAACAGAACTAGAACAGAACTAGAACAGAACTAGAACAGAACTAGAACAGAACTAGAACAGAACTAGAACAGAACTAGAACAGAACTAGAACAGAACTAGAACAGAACTAGAACAGAACTAGAACAGAACTAGAACAGAACTAGAACAGAACTAGAACAGAACTAGAACAGAACTAGAACAGAACTAGAACAGAACTAGAACAGAACTAGAACAGAACTAGAACAGAACTAGAACAGAACTAGAACAGAACTAGAACAGAACTAGAACAGAACTAGAACAGAACTAGAACAGAACTAGAACAGAACTAGAACAGAACTAGAACAGAACTAGAACAGAACTAGAACAGAACTAGAACAGAACTAGAACAGAACTAGAACAGAACTAGAACAGAACTAGCGCAGAACTAGAACAGAGCTGGAAGCGAACTAGAACAGAACTAGAACTAGAACAGAACTAGAACTAAAATAAAACTTTACGTTTTTATCGATATTGTACAATTTCTGTTAATTTCAAAAATTCAGAATTGAGATTTTGTTAAATTTTTCTTAAGTTTTCTTTTCTGAATTTATACTTTAAACCAGTTTTTATCTAATGTTTTTTAAGTTCCATTGTTTTTTAATTTAAAAACAAAAAATCCGTCCTAAAAAAATTATATTTTTAACAAAAGATTTCTTTGGTATTTTTAAAACTTTTCTTAATTATGTTTAAATTTTCTTGCTAATTATCACACTTAATTGGTTTTTTGTTTTCTTTTTTGGGGTTTGCAATGGCTGTATTTTTCAAAATTTATTTTATAACAATTATTAAAAAAAAAAAAAAGAAAATAGCCTTTAATTTTATTAAGTTTTTTTATGGGGGGAGTTTAACTTTTGAAATATTTAACTATTTATAACTGTAATGACTTAAAATTAATAACAAAGTTTCTAAAGGGGTTTAGGGGTTTGTTTTTAGGGTAAAGGGAAAGGTTATTTTATATCTAAATTATTAGCAAAAATTCGTAAGCAATATGCTTTTTTACTAGATCTAATAATAATTAATTTGTTCATGTTCTTATTTAAGAAAAGAAACAGCTTTTGGCAAAAAGTTTTACTATCTAGAGTTCACATTTTTTTGCAAGTGAACGCTAGAGAGCTTTTTGCCAATAACTGATTTAAGGGAGAAGGAGTAGAGAAAGAAAAATGGAATAACAATGAGCAGGAGTCTTTGTTAAAAAAGTGTATGAGTTTTGCTTAGTAAGTACGCCATTAGCTTAAGCGTTTAATTTTTTATAAAAAAAATTACATTAAATTATATAAAAAAATAAAAAGCTTTTTTTTTTTTAAACTTTAATTACTATAATAAACATGTTCGTTTTTCATTTGCTTTTCTTCATTTTAAATAAATTTAATATTATTGCTCAAAACTGCTATTGTCCGACTGATGGCGTACTAAAATTTTGGGCTAGAGAAACTCACGCTTAGAGCGTCCTCCGCCACTGCTGGTAGCACCTGTTGTTGAGCTAGTTGCTGTGGTGCTGGCAGTTGATGTCACTAGAGCACCACCTGAAGCAGCAGCAGCTGTTGTTACTACCGCCGTTGTGGCTTGTGCAGTGTTTGGTGAGGGTAGTTCCTCCTCTAGCAAACGCTGCTGTTCGGGACTTTGTAGAGCGGCACTAGTAGCAGCGGCTTGAGCATGGGTCTGCTTGGGAGGCGCCGGTGCTTTTCTGCTCTTCGAACGCCGCTTTTTAAGCATTAAAGGCCCTAGACCATTGCCACCCGTTGTCGACGTGACCATTTGCACGGGATTCAGCAGGTTGGATGAGCTAGTTGCTGCTGCAGTAGTGGCGGTTGGGCCGACCGCTACTGTCGCAGCTGCACCTGTAGACGTTGGAGCAGCGGATGCACCGGTTGCACCCACACCAGCACCACCAACTCCACCGATGGGTGGTGTGGGTGGAGCTGTGGATATTGTTATAACAGTATCGGCGGCTGGTGTGGTAGCGGTGGAATGTGTTGCCCCACCTTCTGTTGGGCGTCTACCAACTAAGCCCCCTGAGCTGCTGCCACTGGCCGCCGCCGCCGCCGACGTTGAGGTCAACGTTGTCGAGCCACATACACACATGTTGTCATCGGCCGGTGTTGTCTGGCCCGAGGAGTCTTGCTGCAAACGTTTCACCACTTCGGTGAGTAAGTCTTCAATGCGCCCAATGCGCTGCTGCATGCGTTGCAGTTCGAGACGTACATCCACTTTGAGATCCAAAACGGTGGCTATGAGATCTCGTTGAGCTAAAGTGGGTGGTTGTTCTCTTAGGCCTGTATCATAGGTATCGGAGGTGGTGGCACGCGATGAAGCCATTTCAATTTGCCGTTCACGTTCCAAGGCCAAGTTGCGTTCTTTAGTAGAGAGAGCGGTGAGCACGGTGGCGGTAGCACTGCTGCCTTCGATTACCACACGACTATCACGGCTGGGTGGTGATGAGTCCACTTCACCGCCCTCATCAATGGTGTCTTGACGTGCCAACGTGGCTTGACTGGCCTGCAGTTTGGGAGCTTTTGGAAAAACCTGTAAAGAATCATATTTTGCGTTTGGGGAGGAAGGAGGGAAAAGAAAAAGAAAGAAAAAACCATAACAGCACACACACACACGCAAGTAAATAGAAGAGAGAGAGAGAGGAAAATTAAAAGAGTAAATGAAATAGAGAGTAGAGAAAAGAAAGTAAATGGTGTGATCAGGGAAGAGGAATGAATAAAATATCAAAAGATAAAAGTAAAAGAGACGACAAAGCAAAAGAGTTATTTGAAGAAAATGAAGAGAAAGAAAAAAGCAATTAAACGAGAATTAATATAGAAGAGAGAATTATAAAATCACAAAAAAAAATTAAGAGTTAGTATGAGAGTATAGAGAAATTATATGAAATCAAATGAATATTATTAAAAAATTTAAAATTATATATACCAAAGAGAGACATCCAAGCAAAAGAGAACATATTTTTTTAAGAAGATAAACAAAAGAACGGAGTAAATATGAGAGAATAAAAAAAATAGAACAAATTAAATGGATAAAATGGATTATTGTTAAGAGATTTCAAGAATTCAAAATAATATAAGAGAGGAGAGACGTCCAAGCAAAAGAGAGCAGGAATTTATTAAGAAGTTAAACACAAGAGGAGAGCAAATATAAAAGAATAAAGAAAAATAGGAGAAATTAAATGAATTATTGTTAAGAGATGATATGAATTTCAAGCAATATAAAAAAGAGAGACGACCAAGCAAAAGAGAGCAGGAAGTTTTTAAAAAGTTAAACGTATGAGGAGAATAAATATGAGAAAATAAAGAAAAATAGGTGAAATTAAATGGATAGAAAGGATTATTATTAAGAGATGTAAAGAATTCAAAATAATATAGAAAGAAGAGACGTTCAAGCAAAAGAGAGCAGGAAAATTTAAAGGAAAACAGATGAGAAAGGTAGTTAGGAGAATAAATTTAAAGAAAGAAATGTAAAATGTGTTAATACAACATTTTAAATAAATGAATAGTTAAAAAAGAGACATAAATTAGAATAAGAGAGAAAAGAAAGAGTAGGAAGAGAGTAGAGAGAGAAAATAAAAATTATAAAGATTAAACAACACATTCAGATCCAATCACATTTTTTCCATGTTCAACACAGCGAAGAACAGTTGTAGATTTGCAAAGTCACATCAATAAGTAAGAGAGAGAGAGAGAGAGTAAGTGTTAGAGAGAGAGATTACATTTTTGTATCAATCAATCACACATCCAGGTTTAAAGTTCGATTCCACATTGAATGTTTACGTTGTTTGTTTGTTTTGTTTATTTGTTTAAAAATCCAGTTATTTAAAATAGTTTTAATTAGTATTTAAAGTTTAAGATTTGTTTGTTTATTGTGTTTGTTTTTTAAATCCAATAATTTTATTTTGTAAATGCAGGAAGGCAGGCAAAAGAGGGGGGAAAAAGTTAAATGTTTTATTATTTAAAAAATGTGCAATTTTGAGTTTGTTTTTTAAAGTTTTAATTGAAGTTTAAATGAAAATCTTAAAAAAAAATTAACTAAAATAGACAACTAAATAAAGAGACAGTTTAATAAGGACAAAAATACTTAATACAGAGTGTAAGTTTAAAGGAAATTTAAAAGGCTTTGCAAAATAAACTGTTCCCACCCTTAAAATGTTGTTATAAAAGTTAAATTTGTTCAAATGTTTACTGCATTCGAATTGGGAATTAAAAAAAACTCTTCCCACTTCATAAAAAACTGTTCTCACCCTTAAAAATGTAACACAAAAATAATAAAATCTGTAACAAAATAAAACTCTTCCCAGTTAAATGAAAACTGTTCCCATCCCTAAAACTGCTCTTAAAAGTCTAAATCTTTAGAAATTTCAATGGAATAATAATATACTTTAAAACATGAACATTTTAAAGAAAATTTCAACTCTTCCCAGTTAATAAAAAAACTGTTCCCACCTTGAAATTATACTTAAGAGGCTTAAATTTTTTAAAATTTTAAGTAATATCAAATCAAATTTAAAAAGCACTAAAAACTATATCAAAATAAAACTCTTCCCACTTAACTAAAAACTGTTCCCACCCCTAAAACTATCTTTAAAGGGCGAAATCTTTAGAAATTTCATTGGAATAATAACATACTTTAAAATATTGACATTTTAAAGAAAATTTCAACTCTTCCCAGTTAATAAAAAACTGTTCCCACTTTGAAATATAGCTTAAAAAGCAGAAATCTTTAAAAAACTCTTTAGAATACAATAAAACTAAGAAAAACTAACATTTTGAAGAAAATTTTAACTCTTCCCAGTTAATAAAAAAACTGTTCCCACTTTAAAATATAGCTTAAACAGCAGAAATATTTAAAAAACTCTTTAGATTATAATAAAACTGTAAAAAATTCAAATTTTAAAGAAAATATTAACTCTTCCCAGTTAATAAAAAAACTGTTCCCACTTTATAATATTGCTTAAACAGCAGAAATATTTTCAAATTTGTATTGAAATTAAACAAACGTTAAAAAATAAAAATTTCCAGGCTAAAATAAAACTCTTCCCACTTAAGTTAAAACTGTTCCCACTTTGTGAAATTGTTTAGAACGCTAAAATCTGACAAAATTTGCTTTGAATTCAAATAAGTGTTAAAAGAAAAATAGTTTTATATTAAAATATAACTCTTCCCACTTAAGAAATAACTGTTCCCACCTTAGAAATGTGTTGCAAATGCATACAACTTTACAAATTTTAACATGATCATAATAAGCGTTTGAAAAATTATAATCAGTAGCAAAATTAAACTCTTCCCAGTTAAGAAAAAACTCTTCCCACCTTAAAATATTGCTTAAAAGGCTTAAATTTTTCGAAATTTAAATAAACTTTGAAGAAATTATAATCTGTAACCAAATTAAACTCTTCTCAGTTAAAAGAAAAACTGTTCCCATCTTGTAATATGCCTTCAAAAGCTTAAAATGTTCTAAATTTTTAGTGATAACAAAAAAAAAAAAACCTTTAAAAATGAACCTTTTGTTATAAAAATAAAACTGTTCTCACTTATTAAAAAACTCTTCCCACTTTAAATTTTTGGCTAAAAAGCACAAATCTTGCAAAATTCTTAAAGAATATAAATAAATATTAAAAAATAAGAAGTCTCTAACAAAATAAAACTGTTCCCACTTAATCATTAACTGTTTTCATCAGTCAGCCTTTTAAATTTTCTTTAATTTGTTGACAAAACTTAACTAAACATAAAACTAAATTTAAAATAAATTTTCATTAAACAAAAAATAAATAAGACAGATTTTCAATAACTTAAAAATTACAAAATATTGTTGTTTCTATTAATAAAAATGTTGTTGTTGTTGTTTAAATATATGAATACATAAATATATATATAAAGTCAATTACTTTATTGCCTTGTCCACCATTACTACTCGAAGTACTACTCTGCCTCGCTTGGGCGGCAGTGCTTTCACGCAGACTTTCGCGGGCACTCAAACTTCTCGAAACGGCTACTTTGGCGCTAGTATCGCTAGCTGAATCGACACTTGAACTACCCAAAAGGCGTCCCCATTTGCTAGCACGTGTACTACGTGCAGATGGTGGACCAGATGAAGGTGATGGAGAGGGTGATGGGGTGGGTGCGGCAGCGGTGGTTAAAATACGGGAATCCTCGGTTAATGTTAATTTGGCAGGTAACTTCTTTAAAGGGTTGTCACACATATCAAAAATAATAATAACAATACATTCACATTTTGGATTAGGCCAATTATCAGGCAGGATGATTATGCAAGGAGGTGACGTTCGGGGGTATTTTGTAGGAGTTGTTGTGTTTGTTGTTTTGGTAGAAAGGGGGGAAAATGTTAGAATTACATTTTTAATAGGTGTTTCAAAAATGTTGCAGTTCAAATGTATTTCCAATGCACACAATTATAATTTTAGCCACATTTAACATTTATGTTTGAGTGTTTAAAGAATTTTAGTGTTTTTGTTGTTAATTATATAATTTTTGTATTAATTATTTATGTTTTTTTTTTTTGAATTAGTTTAATTTATTTATTTAGTGTTTTTGTTTGTTTTAGCATTTTAAAAGAAAAAAAAAAAAGACGAAAAAAAGAGACAAGACAACGAGCATAAGTATATTTTTGTTTAAATATTTATATTAGTTAATTAATATACATAATTTATATTTAATTACAGTAACTTTTGAGAAAAAACACATTAAAAACAATAACTTAACAAAATTTTAACAAATTTTGTTTAACACCACCTAAAAATATGCCACAAAAATTATATATAAATAAACACATAAAAAATGAGAGCTGGAGAACTAAAGTTGTAGTTAGTTTCTAGTTTATTTCTGTTCTAGTTCAGTTCTAGTTCAGTTCTAGTTCAATTCTAGTTCAGCTCTAGTTCTTTTACTTTTCTAGTTCTCTTCTAGTTCTGTTCCAGTTGTGTTCTAGTTCTCATCTTGTGCAGTTATAGTTCTGTTCTAGTTCTGTTTTAGTTCTGTTGTGGTCGTGTTCCAGGTTTGTTCTAGTTCAGTTCTGTTCTTATTCTGTTCTAGTTCTCTTCTACTTCTGTTCCAGTTTGGTCCCAGTTGTGTTCCAGTTATGTTCTAGTTCTGTTTTAGTACATGTCTAGGTGTGTTCGGGTTTTGTTTTGTTCTAGTTCCGTTCTCGTTCTGTTCCAGTTCTGTTTTAGTTCTGTTCTAGTTATGTTCTAGTTCTGTTCTAGTGCTTTTCTAATTCTCTTCTACTTCTGTTCCAGTTGTGTTCTGGTTCTCATCTAGTTCAGTTCTAGTTCTTTTCTAGTTCTGTTCTAGTTCTGTTCTAGTTCTGTTCTAGTTCTGTTCTAGTTCTGTTCTAGTTCTGTTCTAGTTCTGTTCTGTTCTAGTTCTTTTCTAGTTCTGTTCTAGTTCTGTTCTAGTTCTGTTCTAGTTCTGTTCTAGTTCTGTTCTAGTTCTGTTCAAGTTCTGTTCTAGTTCTGTTCTAGTTCTGTTCTAGTTCTGTTCTAGTTCTGTTCTAGTTCTGTTCTAGTTCTGTTCTAGTTCTGTTCTAGTTCTATTCTAGTTCTGTTCTAGTTCTGTTTAAGTTCTGCTCTAGTTCTGTTCTTGTTGTGTTAGAGGTTTGCTCTTGTTCAGTTCTGTTCTTATTTTGTTCTAGATTTCTACTAGTTCTGTTCTAGTTTGGTCATAGTTGTGTTCCAGTTATGTTCCAGTTCTGTTCTAGTACATGTGTACGTGTGTCCGGGTTTTGTTCTTTTCTCGTTCTGTTTTATTTCTGTTTTAGTTATGTTCTAGTGCTGTTCTAGTTCTGTTCTAGTTCTGTTCTAGTTCTGTTCTAGTTCTGTTCTAGTTCTGTTCTAGTTCTGTTCTAGTTCCGTTCTAGTTCTGTTCTAGTTCTGTTCTAGTTCTGTTCTAGTTCTGTTCTAGTTCTGTTCTAGTTCTGTTCTAGTTCTGTTCTAGTTCTGTTCTAGTTCTGTTCTAGTTCTGTTCTAGTTCTGTTCTAGTTCTGTTCTAGTTCTGTTCTAGTTCTGTTCTAGTTCAGTTCTAGTTCAGTTCTAGTTCAGTTCTAGTTCAGTTCTAGTTCAGTTCTAGTTCAGTTCTAGTTCAGTTATAGTTCAGTTCTAGTTCAGTTCTAGTTCAGTTCTAGTTCAGTTCAAGTTCAGTTCTAGTTCAGATCTAGTTCAGTTCTAGTTCAGTTCTAGTTCAGTTCTAGTTCAGTTCTAGTTCAGTTTCTAGTTCAGTTCTAGTTCAGTTCTAGTTCAGTTCCAGTTCAGTTCTAGTTCAGTTCTAGTTCAGTTCTAGTTCAGTTCTAGTTCAGTTCTAGTTCAGTTCTAGTTCAGTTCTAGTTCAGTTCTAGTTCAGTTCTAGTTCAGTTCTAGTTCAGTTCTAGTTCAGTTCTAGTTCAGTTCTAGTTCAGTTCTAGTTCAGTTCTAGTTCAGTTCTAGTTCAGTTCTAGTTCAGTTCTAGTTCAGTTCTAGTTCAGTTCTAGTTCAGTTCTAGTTCAGTTCTAGTTCAGTTCTAGTTCAGTTCTAGTTCAGTTCTAGTTCAGTTCTAGTTCAGTTCTAGTTCAGTTCTAGTTCAGTTCTAGTTCAGTTCTAGTTCAGTTCTAGTTCAGTTCTAGTTCAGTTCTAGTCAGTTCTAGTTCAGTTCTAGTTCAGTTCTAGTTCAGTTCTAGTTCAGTTCTAGTTCAGTTCTAGTTCAGTTCTAGTTCAGTTCTAGTTTTTTCTAGTTCAGTTCTAGTTCAGTTCTAGTTCAGTTCTAGTTCAGTTCTAGTTCAGTTCTAGTTCAGTTCTAGTTCAGTTCTAGTTCAGTTCTAGTTCAGTTCTAGTTCAGTTCTAGTTCAGTTCTAGTTCAGTTCTAGTTCAGTTCTAGTTCAGTTCTAGTTCAGTTCTAGTTCAGTTCTAGTTCAGTTCTAGTTCAGTTCTAGTTCAGTTCTAGTTCAGTTCTAGTTCAGTTCTAGTTCAGTTCTAGTTCAGTTCTAGTTCAGTTCTAGTTCAGTTCTAGTTCAGTTCTAGTTCAGTTCTAGTTCAGTTCTAGTTCAGTTCTAGTTCAGTTCTAGTTCAGTTCTAGTTCAGTTCTAGTTCAGTTCTAGTTCAGTTCTAGTTCAGTTCTAGTTCAGATCTAGTTCAGATCTAGTTCAGTTCTAGTTCAGTTCTAGTTCAGCTCTAGTTCAGTTCTAGTTCAGTTCTAGTTCAGTTCTAGTTCAGTTCTAGTTCAGTTCTAGTTCAGTTCTAGTTCAGTTCTAGTTCAGTTCTAGTTCAGTTCTAGTTCAGTTCTAGTTCAGTTCTAGTTCAGTTCTAGTTCAGTTCTAGTTCAGTTCTAGTTCAGTTCTAGTTCAGTTCTAGTTCAGTTCTAGTTCAGTACTAGTTCAGTTCTAGTTCAGTTCTAGTTCAGTTCTAGTTCAGTTCTAGTTCAGTTTCTAGTTCAGTTCTAGTTCAGTTCTAGTTCAGTTCTAGTTCAGTTCTAGTTCAGTTCTAGTTCAGTTCTAGTTCAGTTCTAGTTCAGTTCTAGTTCAGTTCTAGTTCAGTTCTAGTTCAGTTCTAGTTCAGTTCTAGTTCAGTTCTAGTTCAGTTCTAGTTCAGTTCTAGTTCAGTTCTAGTTCAGTTCTAGTTCAGTTCTAGTTCAGTTCTAGTTCAGTTCTAGTTCAGTTCTAGTTCAGTCCTAGTTCAGTTCTAGTTCATTTCTAGTTCAGTTGTTTTTCTGTTCTAGATCTATTCTAGTTCCGATCTTGCTCCGTTCTGTTCTAATTTGGTGCTTGTTTCGTTTTGTTCTCGTTCTGTTCTAGTTATGTTATAGTTCTGTTCTAGTTCTGCTTCAGTTCAGCTCCAACTTAGACTAATAAAATTATTAAATTTTAAATAAAATAAATAAAATTATAATAAAATTTATATTATAAAACATTTAATTACCAAACCTGTAAAGCAAGTAGCATATATTTTATAAATTTGTTTTGTAAAATCAATATACATATTTTTAATTTTACATGTTGGCAAAACCACTAGAGAACACATAAAAGAGCTAAAACCAAATTAAATAAACTCAAAAATTAACCGCATTATAAACATTTAACAAATTCACAAAAATGTTTAAACAATTTTTTTTTTGGTAAACCAAAAAACACACACACACCAAAACAAATTACAACAACTTGACTGAACAGCAAAGTAATTACAACAACTCACCTTATTACGATCCGCTTCAAGGGTATCGGAACCACCTCCACCGCCAGCACTGCCTCCGCCTCCCTTTTCGACATCGCTTTGACCGGAAACGGCCTCTTTCGAGCCGGTTGTCACCTGGGGAGTGCGACGGAATTTGGAAAAGATTTTACGCACCAGATGATCTTGATTTTGAGGCAATTGTGGCTCGTTTTTACGCCTTTCGGCCAATTCTTTTTCGCGTTTCACATCAGCCACCTTGCGAAAAATCAAACGATGCCTGAGATTGTAAGTGAGCACTAGATTGCGGGCAAAACTGTTAGCAAATGCCGAATAAAAGTCGAGGACTTCGAGTAATTTATCACGTTTGATGGCATGCAAATCACAATAGGTAAGGGCACGCACATTGGCCGCACTCTGGCCAACGGCTGAATCCTTCCAGAATTGGTCACCAAAGACGTCTCCCTTGCCTAAAGGAAAATAATCAGTAATTTCGCTTAAGAAGTACATAATCTTCTCCTACTCACCCAATATCGCCACAACTTCATCATCCTGTATTACTTCCAGAGAACCCGTCACTATGAAACATAAACTGTCTATACTTTCTCCCGTATGATATAGCAAATCTCCCGGTGCCGAGTGTGACATCATAAAGTGCATGGCCAGCGCTCTTAGACAACCATCCGAGGCAAGACGAAATGCTGGATGCTCGTTAAATACTTTGCGATTTAGATGAACACATATATCAGCCTTCATATCTTTCGGACAATAGTTTAGTACCTGTGAAATGAATTTTGGTTGTTTTTTTTTGGATTTTTCTAGTTAATTTTTTTTTGTTCTACTGTGAGTTTTGAAGATTTTTATTTGTTGTTGATGATGTTTCCAAAAAAATTAAAATGTCATTAAACTCATATACTTAATTTAATATTGTTTTTATTAATGGTTGTTTTCTTTAGAGGATTTTAGGATTTATTGTTTGAGTTTAAAAAGAATATTAAAATATTTGTATATTAGTTTGTTGACTCTTAAACACGACACGCAGTTTTTTGATATGGTAACAGTTCAAGGTCATGGTCTTTTTTTTTTTTGGAAAGTTTCTAAAGAACAGCCATAGGAAGAGGAGAAATGGTATACTATAGATGTAGTAATATTTAAAGCATTTATTACTATATTCTAAAAATGCACAGATCTAGCTAGATCTGTTTCATAAACTCATTAATTAATTGTGTATATTACTAAATATTAATTCAATTGCACTTGCAAGTTCCGCTCACATCTGGTTGTGTTCTAGTTTTGTTCTAGTTCTGTTCTATTTTAGTTCTAGTGCTGTTCTAGTTAAAATCTACTTCAGTTCTGGTTAATTCTAGCTCTGTTCTAGTTCTGTTTCAGTTCAAATCAAGTTCTGTTCCAGTTAAGATCTAATTCTGTTCTAGTTCTGTTATAGTTCTGTTCTAGTTCTGTTCTAGTTATGTTCTAGTTCTGTTCAAGTTCTGTTCTAGTTCTGTTCTAGTTCTGTTCTAGTTCTAGTTCTGTTCTAGTTCTGTTCTAGTTCTGTTCTAGTTCTGTTCTAGTTCTGTTCTAGTTCTGTTCTAGTTCTGTTCTAGTTCTGTTCTAGTTCTAGTTCTGTTCTAGTTCTGTTCTAGTTCTGTTCTAGTTCTGTTCTAGTTCTGTTCTAGTTCTGTTCTAGTTCTGTTCTAGTTCTGTTCTAGTTCTGTTCTAGTTCTGTTCTAGTTCTGTTCTAGTTATGTTCTAGTTCTGTTCTAGTTCTGTTCTAGTTCTGTTCTAGTTCTGTTCTAGTTCTGTTCTAGTTCTGTTCTAGTTCTGTTCTAGTTCTGTTCTAGTTCTGTTCTAGTTCTGTTCTAGTTCTGTTCTAGTTCTGTTCTAGTTCTGTTCTAGTTCTGTTCTAGTTCTGTTCTAGTTCGGTTCTAGTTCGGTTCTAGTTCTGTTCTAGTTTTCAGTTCTAGTTCTGTTCTAGTTCTGTTTCTAGTTCTGTTCTAGTTCTGTTCTAGTTCTGTTCTAGTTCTGTTCTAGTTCTGTTCTAGTTCTGTTCTAGTTCTGTTCTAGTTCTGTTCTAGTTCTGTCTAGTTCTGTTTCTAGTTCTGTTCTAGTTCTGTTCTAGTTCTGTTCTAGTTCTGTTCTAGTTCTGTTCTAGTTCTGTTCTAGTTCTGTTCTAGTTCTGTTCTAGTTCTGTTCTAGTTCTGTTCTAGTTCTGTTCTAGTTCTGTTCTAGTTCTGTTCTAGTTCTGTTCTAGTTCTGTTCTAGTTCTGTTCTAGTTCTGTTCTAGTTCTGTTCTAGTCTGTTCTAGTTTCTTAGTCTGTTCTAGTTCTGTTCTAGTTCTGTTCTAGTTCTGTTTCTAGTTCTGTTCTAGTTCTGTTCTAGTTCTGTTCTAGTTCTGTTTCTAGTTCTGTTTCTAGTTCTGTTCTAGTTCTAGGTTCTAGTTCTGTTCTGTTCTAGTTCTGTTCTAGTTTCTGTTCTAGTTCTGTTCTAGTTCTGTTCTAGTTCTGTTCTAGTCTGTTCTAGTTCTGTTCTAGTTCTGTTTAGAGTTCTGTTCTAGTTCTTTCTAGTTTGTTTATAGTCTGTTCTAGTTCTGTTCAGTTCTGTTCTAGTTTCTGTTCTAGTTCTGTTCTAGTTCTGTTCTAGTTCTGTTCTAGTTCGTTCTAGTTCCTGTTCTAGTTCTGTTCTAGTTCTGTTCTAGTTCTGTTCTAGTTCTGTTCTAGTTCTGTTCTAGTTCTGTTCTAGTTCTGTTCTAGTTTCTGTTCTAGTTCTGTTCTAGTTCTGTTCTAGTTCTGTTCTAGTTCTGTTCTAGTTCTGTTCTAGTTCTGTTTCTAGTTCTGTTCTAGTTCTGTTCTAGTTCAGTTCTAGTTCTGTTCTAGTTCTGTTCTAGTTCTGTTAGTTCTGTTCTAGTTTCTGTTCTATTCTGTTCTAGTTCTGTTCTAGTTCTGTTCTAGTTCTGTTCTAGTTCTGTTCTAGTTCTGTTCTAGTTCTGTTCTAGTTCTGTTCTAGTTCTGTTCTAGTTCTGTTCTAGTTCTGTTCTAGTTCTGTTCTAGTTCTGTTCTAGTTCTGTTCTAGTTCTGTTCTAGTTCTTGTTCTAGTTCTGTTTCTAGTTCTGTTCTAGTTCTAGTTCTAGTTCTGTTTTAGTTCTGTTCTAGTTCTGTTCTAGTTTGTTCTAGTTCTGTTCTAGTTCTGTTCTAGTTCTGTTCTAGTTCTGTTCTAGTTCTGTTCTAGTTCTGTTCTAGTTCGGTTCTAGTTCGGTTCTAGTTTATTCAAGTTCTAGTTCTGTTCTAGTTCTGTTCTAGTTCTAGTTCTGTTCTAGTTCTGTTCTAGTTCTGTTCTAGTTCTGTTCTAGTTCTGTTCTAGTTCGTTCTAGTTCTGTTCTAGTTCTGTTCTAGTTCTGTTCTAGTTCTGTTCTAGTTCTGTTCTAGTTCTGTTCTAGTTCTGTTCTAGTTCTGTTCTAGTTCTGTTCTAGTTCTGTTCTAGTTCTGTTCTAGTTGTTCTAGTTCTGTTCTAGTTCTGTTCTAGTTCTGTTCTAGTTCTGTTCTGTTCTAGTTCTGTTCTAGTTCTGTTCTAGTTCTGTTCTAGTTCTGTTCTAGTTCTGTTCTAGTTCTGGTTCTGTTCTGTTCTAGTTCTGTTCTAGTTCTGTTCTAGTTCTGTTCTAGTGTTCTAGTTCTGTTCTAGTTCTGTTCTAGTTCTGTTCTAGTTCTGTTCTAGTTCTGTTCTAGTTCAGTTCTAGTTCAGTTCTAGTTCAGTTCTAGTTCTGTTCTAGTTTTGCTCTAGTTCTGTTCTAGTTCTGTTCTAGTTCTGTTCTAGTTCTGTTCTAGTTCTGTTCTAGTTCTGTTCTAGTTCTGTTCTAGTTCTGGTTCTGTTCTGTTCTAGTTCTGTTCTAGTTCTGTTCTAGTTCTGTTCTAGTTCTGTTCTAGTTCTGTTCTAGTTCTGTTCTAGTTCTGTTCTAGTTCTGTTCTAGTTCTGTTCTAGTTCTGTTCTAGTTCTGTTCTAGTTCAGTTCTAGTTCAGTTCTAGTTCAGTTCTAGTTCAGTTCTAGTTCAGTTCTAGTTCAGTTCTAGTTCAGTTCTAGTTCAGTTCTAGTTCAGTTCTAGTTCAGTTCTAGTTCAGTTCTAGTTCAGTTCTGGTTCAGTTCTAGTTCAGTTCTAGTTCAGTTCTAGTTCAGTTCTAGTTCAGTTCTAGTTCAGTTCTAGTTCAGTTCTAGTTCAGTTCTAGTTCAGTTCTAGTTCAGTTCTAGTTCAGTTCTAGTTCAGTTCTAGTTCAGTTCTAGTTCAGTTCTAGTTCAGTTCTAGTTCAGTTCTAGTTCAGTTCTAGTTCAGTTCTAGTTCAGTTCTAGTTCAGTTCTAGTTCAGTTCTAGTTCAGTTCTAGTTCAGTTATGGTTCTAGTTCGAGTTCAGTTCTAGATCTGTTCTAGTTCTGTTGTAGTTCTGTTCTAGTTCTGTTCTAGTTCTGTTCTAGTTCTGTTCTAATTCTGTTCTAGTTCTGTTCTAGTTCTGTTCTAGTTCTGTTCTAGTTCTGTTCTAGTTCTGTTCTAGTTCTGTTCTAGTTCTGTTCTAGTTCTGTTCTAGTTCTAGTTTGAGTAACAAATTCAACATTTAAAAATTAAAAAAATTTTCAACTATTAAAAGCAAATTTGAGCTGATTTTATCTACAAAGCTTTTACCTTTGCTTCCTTCTACCACTGTTCAATATTACTTTCCTTTTTGTCTAGTCTATTGTCTACTACTCGTATTTAATTAATACATTTTTAAAGAGAAGGCACAAACTATAGTCATCGAAAATGGTATAAAGGCAGTGTTTAGTTTTCTTTAATATGAAAATAGAATATTTCAATTATTTGGCACTAACACTTATTAGATATTTCATAAACTCAATCAGTTTTTAAACCAAATCTCAATTATTATACCAATTAACAACTTTCATATTGGCTTTAACGAACATTTATTTATTCGTTACGATATGATTAGAAAGGAAAACAAATAATTTGGTTTAAAATTTCATCTAATAGCAAAAATTTGACGGACGCTTTTCGTATTGACACGGATTTAGACTAAAACGTATGAAGAACGATTCTAGCAGACTACCTAGAAATGAAAAGCTTTAGCTCTTTTACCTGGTTGTTGAGGGTAAAGAAATGTTGAGAGAGAAAGTAAGAAAAACGGAAATAGAAAGAGAGAAAATATATTTATGAAAAATTAAAATGACAAAATTAGTGAACAGAGATTTTCAATATAAAATTGTAAATACAAAAAGAATTTAAATAAAAGTTTATTTAAGGCAAAAGTACATAAACAAAAGCTAAAATTAGTAAATGTTAAGAAACCAGCTTTAGAAACCAGTGAAACATGAACAAAAGCTTAGAGAGTTTAAATTAAAAAGGAACATTTTAGGTAAATTAATGTTGAAATAATGTGAAATCTTAATAAACTTAAAAGCTAACTTTTTTATAAAAATAAGTGGAAATTTTTAAAATTTTAATCAAAAAGCTTTAGGAATTAGTAATGCAGAATTAAAAAGGAAAATTATTAAAAAAAGCTTTTAGATAAAAAGGGAAATTATTATAAAATGTTATGAAAAAGCTTAATGGATTTAAACAAAACAATACGAAAGAAGTAACAAAAAGCTTTTGAAAATATTGCGGGATAAGGTGATATTAATTTATAAGATTGAAATGTGTTTAATATTTAAAAAAGCTTTACAAAAATGTCAAAAAACGTAAATCTGAATAAAAAATCTTTAATTTAAATAAAAAATAATTCAAGAATTTGTATAAAAACAACAAGTTATTTTCAAGCCGAATACATATAACAACTTTTTAATCATTTTGTAGCATTTTTGGGCCAAAAGCTTCAAAACTTTTAAAAGCACTAACTTTTTGGAAGTAATTAAGTGATTTATATTTATGATTAACTAAAAAGAATTGAGAAAATTCTTAGTTTTTAATTAGTTTTTAGCATTTCTGGACCAAAAGCTCTAAAGCTTTCGAAAGCTTTAACATTTTAGAAGTAATTTATTACTATGATTGAGTGATAAAAATTGTGAAAATTGCACTAAAATTATAAAAAATTCGAATTTATTCAAAAAGCTTTTGAAAGCTTTTAAACAATTATATGAAAATAGTTGAAAAACATTTGAAAATATTAAAATATTACATAATTTGCAGTCAGTAATGAGTTTATAGAAATAGAAAGAAAAAACTTCAAAAGCTTTTTAAAGAAAAAACTCAAAAGCTTTAAATATTTCAAAATAAACATTAAAGGTTTTTGGAGCTTTACATTTATATAAAGCTAAAAATAATTAAAAAAGCTTTTAAATCATGATGTTTTTTTAAGCTTTTAAAAGAGCTTTTTTAAAGTTTTTTAATTTTTTTTTTAAACAAAACTTGAAAATTTTAATTTTATCGAAAAGCTTTCAAAATTATTTAGTCCAAAAAGCTCGTTGCTAGTAGCTATGTTTATCGTTTTGCATACCTTCATTCATAAATATTGTGTAAGCCCCATTAAAATTACAAAATGTAGAATTTTTCTCAAAAGCTTCTAAAAACTTTTATATAATTTTACGTAAACTTTAGTGAAATATAGAAAATTGATAAAATTTTACAAAATTTCTAGACAATAACGAGCTTTTTTAACGTTTCAGTTATTTTTTACACAAAAACGTTGAAAAGCTTTTAAAGCTTTGAATACTTTAGAGAGCTTTTTTAGGAGTTTGATGTCATAAATTCATATAAAATTAAAATATGTTTTAAAAAAACTTTTAAATGATGATATTTGAGAAAGCTTTTAAAAAAGCTTTTAATTTTTTCTTCAATTTTAGTTTGAAAATCCCTTTTTTGTACACCCAAAACAAATATTTAATTCTTAGAATTCCACGTTACTTTTAAAAAGCTTTAAACAAATATTTTATTAAAAAGCTTTGAAAAAGCTTTCAAAGTTATTGAGTCAAAAACAGCTTTTAATCGAAAGCTTTCGAAATATAATTAAACATTAATTTATAATATTTCTAATTTCATATAAAAAAGCTTTATGTTTTCATTTTATAAAAAAGCTTTTCAAAGCTTTTAGTGTTTTTTTTAATAAAAACTACTTTTTTATAAAAAAATAATATAAAAATAATGTTTAAAATTAAAAATATAACAAAGGCTTTCAAGTTTTATTGTCATAAATAGTTGTTAAAAAGCTCTTTACCAAAAAAAGCTTTTTTATATGCCATGATATATAATAAACAACTCTAGACTACAAAATTTATATAAAAAGCTTTTAAAAAAAGGTTTAATAAAAAAAGCTTTTTGAAAGGTTTTAGTGACATATCTTCAAAAGCTTTTTTATATGCCATGATATATAATAAACAACTCTTGACTACAAAATTTATATAAAAAGCTTTAAAAAAAGGTTTAATGAAAAAAGCTTTTTGAAAGCTTTTAGTGAAATATGTTCAAAATTTAAAGAAATCAAGTATTTTTAAAAACTGAAAATGTGGAAAATTAAGCAAATTTTCTTAAAAAAATAAAAAATTTTAAACTTAAAATAAAAAAGCTTTAAGAAATTTATAGGAATATAAAGACTAAGACAGAGGGTAAAACAAATTAATGATTTTAAGCTTAGAAAAACCTAATAAATGATGTTTTGACAAAAAACACCAAAACTAAGCTTTCTAATAAAGCTTTTTAGATGATGTTTCTTACATTAGCGGTGAAAAGCTTAGGAAAGCTTTTTAGTTATTAAAATAAATATACGAGTAAAATGACATTTTGTTTAATATATATGTTGAAATGCCTAAATACTGGATGACTTTTTTTTGGTTTATGGGACAGATTAACAAAGTATTTGAAGTTGTAAAAGCTTTCTATAGTGTGTGTTTGTGTATATATATACAAACTGCGTGTTGAGTTTTGATGGTTTTTGTATAAATTTAAGTTAAAAATATATTAAAACTAGTAATTATTTAAGAAATATATAGAAAAAATATTTATGAAAAAGCTTTTATATAATAAAATGTGCTTAAAAAAGCTTTAATATTTTAAAAAAATTTACATATTTTCAAATATATCATTTAGCTGTTTAAACGTCCGTTTTTATTAAAAGGAAAATTAAAATGTATTTCGTTACTTTTCTAACACTACATACCTTTTCCGTATCTAATCCTTTGGTCATGGCCCACGTGGATACCACATAATCCATAACACGTTCACTTAAGGCCTTCGGTACCTCATGCAATTTCATAAATTCACGTACATTATTAAGCATGTCATGATATTTAGCCGTAGCCGAGGTCATCTGTTGTATGATGGTGGTGACATGACCAAATATAGTGGCGTAAAGAAGAGCTGTTTATTGGTGTGGAAAATAAATAATACATTTTTATAAAACAAGTAGATTATAAAAGCTATTAAAGTAAGTTATTACTAATATAGTATTTAGCCAGTTAACCAGTTGAGCTTTAATTCTTTAAATGTAATACTTAAAATGTGGAATTCAACACGCGAGCTAGAACAGTAATAAAATGCTTTAATTCCTTCTTTATTTCAGAAAATTGTAGGAGTTTTTCTTAATTTTTAATACAAAAAAGCTTTTTAAATAAAACGCAAAAAAAGTTCTTCGAAAATGCTTTTTATTCAAAATGAATAACTCGTAACAAAAATACTTTTAATAATAAGAAAAATTAAAAACAATTTCAAAAAGCTTTTAGAAACTATGGCAAAAATTAAAAAGCTTTAAAGTGGAACTGAAAGCTTTTCCAATTGCTAAAAGTTTAATTTAAATGAAAAGCTATTTTAAATTAAATGAAAAGCTGTTTTAAATGAAATGAAAAGCTATTAATGATATTTTTAAAAAAGCTTTCACAAAATTAAAAGCTTTTAACAACAAATTTTCACTGATTCCTTATTTAAAGAAAACTAATTTCATTAAAATCATTAATGTCTAGTAAAAATGTGGAACATTTTCGAAAATATAAAAAAAGCTTTCAAAAACCTTTAAGAAAAAGAGCTTTTTTTAAATACAAAATTCATAAGAATACTCTTAATAATGGTAAATTTAACTAAATAAAACTAAAAATTATCAATCATTTATGTATTAAAGCTTTTAAAACAGAAAGCTTTTCCTATATCCAAAAGCTTTTGTGGAAAATTTATAAAATTTCTAAATTTTTGAGATAAGTTATGGAAATAACACAAAATTTGTGATATTTGAAAAATTTCTAAAATTAATAAGAAAGCTTTCAGGATATTTATGCAAAAATTTAGAAAAAAGAAAAGCTTTATGCTAAAAAAATGTTTTAAACCTCTTTAGTGTAACAAAATATCCATAAATATTTTTCTAAAAGTGAAAAAAAAAGGAAATTAATAAAAGCTTTAAATATAACTTAAAAGCTTTAAGCTTTGTATTAAAAAAATCTGTAAAATTCTTTTATTTAAACAATTTTGATGAAAAAGTATCATTATACCAAAAAAAAATTTTTTTATAAACTTTTCCAAAATGCTTTAATAAACTTTAAAGAGCTTTTATCCCAAAAATTTTTAATATTCAAAACTTTTGTATTTAATAAATCCTTACAAAAAGGTTTTTAAAATTGGATTTTCATAAAAAGCTTTAAAAAGCTTTTTTCAAAAATTTCTTAAATTTTTAACTTATATACAATTAGACAAAAATAAAAGTTTAAAAAACTTTTCCTAAAAGCTTCAATGAACTTTAAAGAGTTTTTTTTTTTGTCAAAAAAGGCTTCAATTAAAAATGTTCAGTAATTTTTAACTAATATTTGCAAAAATGTATAAAAAACATATTTTTCATACAATTTTCAAAAAAAGCTTTTAAGAGCTTTTTTTTATAAAATGTCTTAACTTTTGAAATTTTGGTTTGCATTTTAAATATCTATACAAATATGATAAAGTTACACAAAAATTAAAGTCTCCTGTAAGATTTTTAGACAATTTTCAAAAAAAAAAAACTTTTATGAACTTTAAAAAGCTTTTTAACAAAAATGTTGGAAAATCAAAGTTTTTGTTGATAAGTTAAAATACTTTTAAAAAATTATAAAATTACTACAAAATTAAAGCTTTTTATAAAGCTTATAAAAAGCTTTTATTAAATTACAAAATTTGAGGAATTAGTTTAGATTTCTTTATAAAAAATCATTCTATTAATAATTTAGCTAACCATTAAAAGCTGTAATTCATGTTTAGTATGGATTTCTCTAACAAAACACCGAAAGCTTTTGATGTTTTCTTAGAAAGAATTCATTCATCAACTCACACTTAGCCATGAGTTGTCCGACTATATAAATTGGTTTATAAGTGAAGATTTATGGAAATATACAGAAGAAAATATTATAAGCTTTAAGCTTTTATTGAGAAATAAATGAAAAAAAAAACTAAAGCAAAGATTTAAACAATAAGCAGAAAATGAAATTAAAAGCTTTAGAAAATAAAAATTATAAGAAAAACTACAACAATTTATTAAGGATTTTCTTAGCAGTTATTAGTTCTAGCGGGCGTAACATAAAGAAATATGCGTTTGGAAGTAAAAGGAACAAGAGCTAGAAAGTAGTAATACTTAGAACTAAAAGAGTTTAGACTATGGACTAGAGGATATATAAAAATTTTGATACTTTAACTTAAAAATACCTATTTTTCTTAAACTAGTTTATAAAACTTAAATTTTTCAAACGCATATTTCTATTATGCTATTCTTTCGTTCTCTACCAAAGCCATATATAATAGTTCTTTAGCATTATCTAGAACAAAATTTTTCTATATATAAATATGACGCGACAACGGAACGTGTTAAATAAACACAGCACCTGCAATTATCATCATGCAGATGGTGAACACCTTCTCGTTGTCCGTCTCGGCGGCAACGTTTCCAAACCCCACCTAAAAGTAAAATAAAATTAAAAAATTTTAATGAAATATTGAATTGAATTCGAAAAGATTTTGAAATTCCTTAACATCTTCCAAAACTTACCGATGTCATACAAGTCATGGTAAAATATAAAGCTGTCACATACATACTCTTGCGTGAAGGGCCATTTATCAGTTCTGTGGAATCATTATTATAAATATAGGAATAGGGTGATTGTGTTACATTCGCCAACTTCCAAAGCCAACTATACTGGATCTAAAAGCAAGAAAATAAATACAATTTAAAAATTTCTTCCTTATTCCACTTAAAAACAAAATTTTCTTTATAATTACTCCATTATCGGCATCGGTCCTTCCTATGGAATACCATATACAGGCCAACCAATGAGCCACTAACATATAGAAACATAATAATAGTATGAGCATGGCAGCTCCATATTCCAGATAACGATCTAGTTTGCGTACAACACGACCCAAACGCAGCAGACGTACAACTTTTAAAGCACTGAATAGTGAACCGATGCCATCCTCGTCACGATCAAAGGCATTGAAGACATCGTATGGCAGGCAACTGAGCAAATCGATGATAAACCAAGATTTCAAATAATTCATACGTATCACTTTGGGATCACTAACTACTTCGCCGCCGGGGCCCACAAATGTGGTGTGAAAATTTAAAACTAAAAGAAAATAAATATGTTAAATAAAAAACTGGTCCAAAAAAAGCTATAAAGAGTAAACTAGACTAAAGTCGAAACAAAACTCAAAACAAGACTATAGACTAAACTATGGACTATAGACGAGAATAGATTGAACTATAAACTAGACTATATATTAGCCTATATATAAGAATAGATCTATAGACTAGACTATAGACTAGATTATAGACTAGACTATAGACTAGACTATAGACTAGACTATAGACTAGACTATAGACTAGACTAGACTATAGACTAGACTATAGACTAGACTATAGACTAGACTATAGACTAGACTATAGACTAGACTATAGACTAGACTATAGACTAGACTATAGACTAGACTATAGACTAGACTATAGACTAGACTATAGACTAGACTATAGACTAGACTATAGACTAGACTATAGACTAGACTATAGACTAGACTATAGACTAGACTATAGACTAGACTATAGACTAGACTATAGACTAGACTATAGACTAGACTATAGACTAGACTATAGACTAGACTATAGACTAGACTAGACTATAGACTAGACTATAGACTAGACTATAGACTAGACTATAGACTAGACTATAGACTAGACTATAGACTAGACTATAGACTAGACTATAGACTAGACTATAGACTAGACTATAGACTAGACTATAGACTAGACTATAGACTAGACTATAGACTAGACTATAGACTAGACTATAGACTAGACTATAGACTAGACTATAGACTAGACTATAGACTAGACTATAGACTAGACTATAGACTAGACTAGACTAGACTATAGACTAGACTATAGACTAGACTATAGACTAGACTATAGACTAGACTATAGACTAGACTATAGACTAGACTATAGACTAGACTATAGACTAGACTATAGACTAGACTATAGACTAGACTATAGACTAGACTATAGACTAGACTATAGACTAGACTATAGACTAGACTATAGAAGACTATAGACTAGACTATAGACTAGACTATAGACTAGACTATAGACTAGACTATAGACTAGACTATAGACTAGACTATAGACTAGACTATAGACTAGACTATAGACTAGACTATAGACTAGACTATAGACTAGACTATAGACTAGACTATAGACTAGACTATAGACTAGACTATAGACTAGACTATAGACTAGACTATAGACTAGACTATAGACTAGACTATAGACTAGACTATAGACTAGACTATAGACTAGACTATAGACTAGACTATAGACTAGACTATAGACTAGACTATAGACTAGACTATAGAACTAGAACAGAGCTAGAACAGAACTAGAACAGAGCTAGAACAGAACTAGAACAGAACTAGAACAGAACTAGAACAGAACTAGAAAAGAACTAGAACAGAACTAGAACAGAACTAGAACAGAACTAGAACAGAACTAGAACAGAACTAGAACAGAACTAGAACAGAACTAGAACAGAACTAGAACAGAACTAGAACAGAACTAGAACAGAACTAGAACAGAACTAGAACAGAACTAGAACAGAACTAGAACAGAACTAGAACAGAACTAGAACAGAACTAGAACAGAACTAGAACAGAACTAGAACAGAACTAGAACAGAACTAGAAGAAAACAGAACTAGAACAGAACTAGAACAGAACTAAAACAGAACTAGAATAGAACTAGAATAGAACTAGAACAGAACTAGCACAGAACTAGAACAGAACTAGAACAGAACTAGAACAGAACTAGAACAGAATCTAGAACAGAACTAGAAAAGAACTAGAACAGAACTAGAACAGAACTAGAACAGAACTAGACAGAACTAGAACATAACTAGAACAGAACTAGAACTGAACTAGAACTGAACTAGAACAGAACTAGAACAGAAATAGAACTGAACTAGAACTAGAACTGAACTAGAACAGAACTAGAACAGAACTAGAACAGAACTAGAACAGAACTAGAACAGAACTAGAACAGAACTAGAACAGAACTAGAACAGAACTAGAACAGAACTAGAACAGAACTAGAACAGAACTAGAACAGTAACTAGAACAGAACTAGAACAGAACTAGAACAGAACTAGAACAGAACTAGAACAGAACTAGAACAGAACTAGAACATAACTAGAACATAACTAGAACAGAACTAGAACAGAACTAGAACAGAACTAGAACAGAACTAGAACAGAACTAGAACTGAACTAGAACTGAACTGAACTAGAACTGAACTAGAACAGAACTAGAACAGAACTAGAACAGAACTAGAACAGAACTAGAACAGAACTAGAACAGAACTAGAACAGAACTAGAACAGAACTAGAACAGAACTAGAACAGAACTAGAACAGAACTAGAACAGAACTAGAACAGAACTAGAACAGAACTAGAACAGAACTAGAACAGAACTAGAACAGAACTAGAACAGAACTAGAACAGAACTAGAACAGAACTAGAACAGAACTAGAACAGAACTAGAACAGAACTAGAACAGAACTAGAACAGAACTAGAACAGAACTAGAACAGAACTAGAACAGAACTAGAACAGAACTAGAACAGAACTAGAACAGAACTAGAACAGAACTAGAACAGAACTAGAACAGAACTAGAACAGAACTAGAACAGAACTAGAACAGAACTAGAACAGAACTAGAACAGAACTAGAACAGAACTAGAACAGAACTAGAACAGAACTAGAACAGAACTAGAACAGAACTAGAACAGAACTAGAACAGAACTAGACAGAACTAGAACAGAACTAGAACAGAACTAGAACAGAACTAAAACAGAACTAGAATAGAACTAGAATAGAACTAGAACAGAACTAGAACAGAACTAGAACAGAACTAGAACAGAACTAGAACAGAACTAGAACAGAACTAGAACAGAACTAGAACAGAACTAGAACAGAACTAGAACAGAACTAGAACAGAACTAGAACAGAACTAGAACAGAACTAGAACAGAACTAGAACAGAACTAGAACAGAACTAGAACAGAACTAGAACTGAGCTAGATCTTATCTTGACTTTAGTCAAGAATTCCATGCATTCACGGAATTAAGACGATTAAAATATTCATTTTAGTTTCTAGTTTTTCTCATATTTATTTGCTAGTTTTTCTGTTATTTAAATTAGTGCCAACTGTATATTAAATATGAATTCATTCATATTTTCCCTTTTGTAGAAAAAAAGCTTACAGTTTACTCACGTTTCATACTTAAAAATTTGCTATGACACAAACTCATATACTCGTTTTTTTTTTTCATACTACCAAACTATCAACTCTCTATTATATTAAGCCAACTTGCGAATATTTGTATAATAAAATATTCATACAGTGTTATAAACTTAATGCAATAGTTTTTTTTTTGTCGTACGAAAAAAAGAAATATGAATTTATGCATAAATCAATTTTGAAAAGTTAAAAAGTGAAGATGAGTGCAGTTAAAACGTGTTTATATAGCAGAATTTATACAAAATTTTATTCATATATTTGAAAGAAAACTAGTCACGTGACTGGTTGTAAAAGGGACTAGAAACTGGTTCAAGATTTTTGTGGGAAATGGTATCTTTTTAGGCTTTAGATGAGATATTTTTTCCAAACTCTGTTGTTAAACATTTGATCTTTTTTTAAAATAACAGTGTTTCTATAATTTTTTAGCCCACTGTAATAACTGCAGTACTAAAATAAATGTACATTTTTTTTGTATCTTTTAGTTGACATCAAACACGTTAGCAGGATATTGTCTTCAATGGTATTTGGTGCATAAATATGAGAATACAAAATAATATCTTAGAGATACCAGAAGATCTACATACTTACCAATATCAATAAAGAATATAACATCTACAATTGAATCAACAACAAGTAATGAAACATCTTCTGAGGTTTTATTTTTAAAAGCTACATTATATGGCACCTGCAAGTAAGTAACAAGAAAAATTATTAATAAAAAAAAAAATATAAATAGAAATATGAGACAAATAAGTTACAAAGTTGTAAAATCTGTTGAAATTTATTATGGAATTTTTAATGCATTCTAGTTGTTATTGTCTATTTGGTTTAAAATATGTAAAATTTAAGTTGGAAATCTATTTTATATTTACCCCTATAGCTGATTTCCAAAAGGATTAACACTTAATTACACAGGTGAACATTTCACATATGCAAGTACATACATATGTAAATGGGTAAATATTATAAAAACCTTTATAATAAGGTTAAATGCAAAGTGTTTAAGTCAGAGGTGGGCAAAACGAGAAAATTAGTCGAAAATAAAAATATATATATAAAATATTCCGAATACCCCAGCCTAACATTAGTAAAGTCCATCTATGTGAATACATATATTCTGGATTATAGAATGGTCTATAGTCTGAACTAAAGTCTAGTTCTGTTCTAGTTCTGTTCTAGTTCTGTTCTAGTTCTGTTCTAGTTCTGTGCTAGTTCTGTTCTAGTTCTGTCTAGATCTGTTCTAGTTCTGTTCTAGTTCTGTTCTAGTTCTGTTCTAGTTCTGTTCTAGTTCTGTTCTAGTCTGTTCTAGTTCTGTTCTAGTTCTGTTCTAGTTCTGTTCTAGTTCTGTTCTAGTTCTGTTTTAGTTCTGTTCTAGTTCTAGTTCTGTTCTAGTTCTGTTCTAGTTCTGTTCTAGTTGTCTAGTTCTAGTCTGTTCTAGTTCTGTTCTAGTTCTGTTCTAGTTCTGTTCTAGTTCTGTTCTAGTTCTGTTCTAGTTCTGTTCTAGTTCTGTTCTAGTTCTGTTCTAGTTCTGTTCAAGTTCTGTTCTAGTTCTAGTTCTGTTCTAGTTCTGTTCTAGTTCTGTTCTAGTTCTGTTCTAGTTCTGTTCTAGTTCTGTTCTAGTTATGTTCTAGTTCTGTTCTAGTTCTGTTCTAGTTCTGTTCTAGTTCTGTTCTAGTTCTGTTCTAGTTCTGTTCTAGTTCTGTTCTAGTTCTGTTCTAGTTCTGTTCTAGTTCTGTTCTAGTTCTGTTCTAGTTCTGTTCTAGTTCTGTTCTAGTTCTGTTCTAGTTCTGTTCTAGTTCTGTTCTAGTTCTGTTCTAGTTCTGTTCTAGTTCTGTTCTAGTTCTGTTCTAGTTCTGTTCTAGTTCTGTTCTAGTTCTGTTCTAGTTCTGTTCTAGTTCTGTTCAAGTTCTGTTCTAGTTCTAGTTCTAGTTCTAGTTCTGTTCTAGTTCTGTTCTAGTTCTGTTCTAGTTCTGTTCTAGTTCTGTTCTAGTTCTGTTCTAGTTCTGTTCTAGTTCTGTTCTAGTTCTGTTCTAGTTCTGTTCTAGTTCTGTTCTAGTTCTGTTCTAGTTCTGTTCTAGTTCTGTTCTAGTTCTGTTCTAGTTCTGTTCTAGTTCTGTTCTAGTTCTGTTCTAGTTCTGTTCTAGTTCTGTTCTAGTTCTGTTCTAGTTCTGTTCTAGTTCTGTTCTAGTTCTGTTCTAGTTCTGTTCTAGTTCTGTTCTAGTTCTGTTCTAGTTCTGTTCTAGTTCTGTTCTAGTTCTGTTCTAGTTCTGTTCTAGTTCTGTTCTAGTTCTGTTCTAGTTCTGTTCTAGTTCTGTTCTAGTTCTGTTCTAGTTCTGTTCTAGTTCTGTTCTAGTTCTGTTCTAGTTCTGTTCTAGTTCTGTTCTAGTTCTGTTCTAGTTCTGTTCTAGTTCTGTTCTAGTTCTGTTCTAGTTTGTTCTTTTCTAGTTGTCTAGTTCTGTTCTAGTGTTCTAGTTCAGTTCTAGTTCTGTTCTAGTTCTGTTCTAGTTCTGTTCTAGTTCTGTTCTAGTTCTGTTCTAGTTCTGTTCTAGTCTGTTCTAGTTCTGTTCTCGTTCCTGTCAGTTCTGTTCAGTTCTGTTCCAGTTCTGTTCTAGTTTGTTCTAGTTCTGTTCTAGTTATGTTCTCTCTGTTCTAGTTCTGTTCTAGTTCTGTTCTAGTTCTGTTCTAGTTCTGTTCTAGTTCTGTTCTAGTTCTGTTCTTGTCTTGTTCTATTCTAGTTTTGTTTTTGTTCTGTTCTAGTTTAGCCCATGGTCTGTTCTTTATCTAATAGTTGGGGTTACCCCATGTGTTTCCCCACCTCTGTGTTAATTACAGTAATGTTTCAAAGAGGGTACTAACTATTCTCAACGTCTTCATATACTGTATGATTAGATATCTTAAGTAGACTAGTAAGAGGGTATAGAAAATGAAAGTACATACACACAAATAAGTATGTATGTGTTTGAGTTTCTGTGTCCGGGTGTGTATGAATTCAGTTGTGGTCTTGTGTGTGTGTTTTGCATTTAAGTAGTATTCGAGTGGCATTTATAAGTGCATGTTAAGTATTTTGTTTAGAGGCGAAGGCATTTTATGTATAGACTAAGTATTTCCTAGGAGAAAAACAAAAAAGCATAAGTTCCTAGTCCAATACCTTTTAGACGGTATATTGGATATTTAAACTAAAAGATAGAACAATGTTTTTAACAGAAGGTTATTCCTTAAAATTTTCAATATTTTAAAAAAATTTTCCATTATTTTTACTCACCATAATTGCTGTATAAAATGTTAAACATAATATGACCCAATCCCAAATCGCTTTAAATGCACAATAATGCAACAGTATATGAGGTGGTGTTTTTGGTGCTTCCTGGCGATATTGTGGCATTATATCCGCACTCAAGGACATCATCTGTAATATTTTAAGGATTTCTTTTATTTATTTCCTATTTAGATTAAGAGAGAAATATTGCAACTTACATGCGCTAAATTTGATTGTTTCGTTGGATCCTTTAGCGTTGGCAAATGTGCGCTGAATTGACGACTTCTCGTAACCGAACGTGCCAATTTGGCAAATTTTGATAGACCTAAAACTAGATAGTTGAAAAATCAAATTTGTCAAAACTATAAAAGTGGACAGACAGAACGAACAAACACAGAGTATATACAAGATAGGATATAGTTAGAAAGAGGAAAAACAAATAGATATACATATAGGGTTACGTTTTAAAATGAAGTAGATTCATGTAGTGTTCGGAGGAGATGCAGAGAGGCAATTTTTCTGTCTTCGATATTGATTGAAAATTATTGTCTATAGTCTAGTCTATTGTCTAGTCTATAGTCTAGTCTATAGTCTAGTCTATAGTCTTGTCTATAGTCTAGTCTATAGTCTAGTATGTAGTCTAGTCTATAGTATAATAAATAGTTTATAATCTAGTCTACAGTCTACTATATAGTTTATAACCTATAGTCTAGTGTATAGTCTAGTCTATAGTCTAGTCTATAGTCTAGTCTATAGTCTAGTCTATAGTCTAGTCTATAGTCTAGTCTATAGTCTAGTCTATAGTCTAGTCTATAGTTAGTCTATAGTCTAGTCTATAGTCTAGTCTATAGTCTAGTCTATAGTCTAGTCTAGTCTAGTCTATAGTCTAGTCTATAGTCTAGTCTATAGTCTAGTCTATAGTCTAGTCTATAGTCTAGTCTATAGTCTAGTCTATAGTCTAGTCTATAGTCTAGTCTATAGTCTAGTCTATAGTCTAGTCTATAGTCTAGTCTATAGTCTAGTCTATAGTCTAGTCTATAGTCTAGTCTATAGTCTAGTCTATAGTCTAGTCTATAGTCTAGTCTATAGTCTAGTCTATAGTCTAGTCTATAGTCTAGTCTATAGTCTAGTCTATAGTCTAGTCTATAGTCTAGTCTATAGGTCTAGTCTATAGTCTAGTCTCTAGTCTAGTCTATAGTCTAGTCTATAGTCTAGTCTATAGTCCTAGTCTATAGTCTAGTCTATAGTCTAGTCTATAGTCTAGTCATATAGTCCTAGTCTATAGTCTAGTCTATAGTCTAGTCTATAGTCTAGTCTATAGTCTAGTCTATAGTCTAGTCTATAGTCTAGTCTATAGTCTAGTCTATAGTCTAGTCTATAGTCTAGTCTATAGTCTAGTCTAAGTCTAGTCTATAGTCTAGTCTATAGTCTAGTCTATAGTCTAGTCTATAGTCTAGTCTATAGTCTAGTATATAGTCTAGTCTATAGTCTAGTCTATAGTCTAGTCTATAGTCTAGTATAGTAGTCTAGTCTAGTATAGTCTAGTCTATAGTCTAGTCTATAGTCTAGTCTATAGTCTAGTCTATAGTCTAGTCTATAGTCTAGTCTATAGTCTAGTCATATAGTCTAGTCTATAGTCTAGTCTATAGTCTAGTCTATAGTCTAGTCTATAGTCTAGTCTATAGTCTAGTCTAAGTCTAGTCTATAGTCTAGTCTATAGTCTAGTCTATAGTCTAGTCTATAGTCTAGTCTATAGTCTAGTCTATAGTCTAGTCTATAGTCTAGTCTATAGTCTAGTCTATAGTCTAGTCTATAGTCTAGTCTATAGTCTAGTCTATAGTCTAGTCTATAGTCTAGTCTATAGTCTAGTCTATAGTCTAGTCTATAGTGTAGTCTATAGTCTAGCCTATAGTCTAGTCTATAGTCTAGTCTATAGTCCTAGTCTATAGTCTAGTCTATAGGTCTAGTCTATAGTCTAGTCTATAGTCTAGTCTATAGTCTAGTCTATAGTCTAGTCTAGTCTAGTATAGTCTAGTCTATAGTCTAGTCTATAGTCTAGTCATAGTCTAGTCTATAGTCTAGTCTATAGTCTAGGTATATAGTCTAGTCTATAGTCTAGTCTATAGTCTAGTCTATAGTCTAGTCTATAGTCTAGTCTATAGTCTAGTCTATAGTCTAGTCTATAGTCTAGTCTATAGTCTAGTCTATAGTCTAGTCTATAGTCTAGTCCTATAGTCTAGTCTATAGTCTAGTCTATAGTCTAGTCTATAGTCTAGTCTATAGTCTAGTCTATAGTCTAGTCTATAGTCTAGTCTATAGTCTAGTCTATAATCTAGTCTATAGTCTAGTATATAGTCTAGTCTATAGTCTAGTCTATAGTCTAGTCTATAGTCTAGTCTATAGTCTAGTCGATATTCTAGTCTATAGTCTAGTCTATAGTCTAGTCTATAGTCTAGTCTATAGTCTAGTCTATAGTCTAGTCGATATTCTAGTCTATAGTCTAGTCTATAGTCTAGTCTATAGTCTAGTCTATAGTCTAGTCTATAGTCTAGTCTATAGTCTAGTCTATAGTCTAGTCTATAGTCTAGTCTATAGTCTAGTCTATAGTCTAGTCTATAGTCTAGTCGATATTCTAGTCTATAGTCTAGTCGATATTCTAGTCTATAGTCTAGTCTATAGTCTAGTCTATAGTCTAGTCTATAGTCTAGTCTATAGTCTAGTCTATAGTCTAGTCTATAGTCTAGTCGATAGTCTAGTCGATAGTCTAGTCGATAGTCTAGTCGATAGTCTAGTCTATAGTCTAGTCTATAGTCTAGTCTATAGTCTAGTCTATAGTCTAGTCTATAGTCTAGTCTATAGTCTAGTCTATAGTCTAGTCTATAGTCTAGTCTATAGTCTAGTCTATAGTCTAGTCTATAGTCTAGTCTATAGTCTAGTCTATAGTCTAGTCTATAGTCTAGTCTATAGTCTAGTCTATAGTCTAGTCTATAGTCTAGTCTATAGTCTAGTCTATAGTCTAGTCTATAGTCTAGTCTATAGTCTAGTCTATAGTGCTAGTCTATAGTCTAGTCTATAGTTAGTCTATAGTCTAGTCTATAGTCTAGTCTATAGTCTAGTCTATAGTCTAGTCTATAGTCTAGTCTATAGTCTAGTCTATAGTCTAGTCTATAGTCTAGTCTATAGTCTAGTCTATAGTCTAGTCTATAGTCTAGTCTATTGTCTAGTCTATAGTCTAATCTATAGTCTAGTCTTTAGTCTAGTCTATAGTCTAGTCTATAGTCTAGTCTATAGTCTAGTCTATAGTCTAGTCTATAGTCTAGTCTATAGTCTAGTCTATAGTCTAGTCTATAGTCTAGTCTATAGTCTAGTCTATAGTCTAGTCTATAGTCTAGTCTATAGTCTAGTCTATAGTCTAGTCTATAGTCTAGTCTATAGTCTAGTCTATAGTCTAGTCTATAGTCTAGTCTATAGTCTAGTCTATAGTCTAGTCTATAGTCTAGTCTATAGTTTAGTCTAGTCTATGGTCTATAGTCTATAGTCTATAGTCTATAGTCTATAGTCTAGTCTAGTCTAGTCTAGTCTAGTCTAGTCTAGTCTAGTCTAGTCTAGTCTAGTCTAGTCTATAGTCTAGTCTATAGTCTAGTCTATAGTCTAGTCTATAGTCTAGTCTATAGTCTTGTCTATAGTCTAGTTTATAGTCTAGTCTATAGTCTAGTCTTTAGTCTAGTCTTTAGTCTAGTCTATAGTCTAGTGTATAGTCTAGTCTATAGTCTAGTCTATGGTCTAGTCTATAGTCTAGTCTATAGTGTAGTCTATTGTCTATATAGTCCCTAGTCCATAGTCTAGTCTATAGATTAGTTTATAGCCTGGACTATAGTTTAGTACTGACATGGACGATTGGCTAATCTCTTCTTAATTTTTGATTGGAAGTTGCTCTGCTTTCAGTTCTCATTCTCAAACTGTTTTTCACTCTCTCTTTTGGCTTAAACTCTACCAGATATCTCTCATTGTTGATAAAGAGTTTTAGAGTTTTCATCGGAGTAAATCAGGTAATCAGTTAAGTTTTATCATGCTGATTAGTTTTATAAACGCTATATAGAGTGCAGTTACACAACATTTAAATATTTTTAAAATATTAACAAAATTTAATAGAAGTACTTAAGAACATATAACACAGATTTACATGAAAGTATAAAACACCAGAACATTTAAATAGTGAAACAGAGAAAGTTAAAATAAGAATATTATAATAAACATAAAAGACGACTATGTGTCAACTTACCACCCTTGGTATCTTCGCTGTCGATGGGTTGTTTTAAGGCGGTTATATCTCGAAATGTTAACAGGAATAAGACAACCAAATCCCTTTCGTTGCGTATGGGTGCCACCTGTAGCAGAAGCCATAATGGAGTTTCTAAAGGAGAGAGGAAAAGAGAAAATTTTACTTAAATAACCAGGGGATTTAAAAAGTAAGAAAAAACACCAAAAATATATTTTACTTAAATTTAATTAACCAAAAGTCCTTCTCAGAAAAGAAAGGTTGCTTTTTTTTAATACTTTCAGTAACAAGTTTTAATCAAGCGAAAACACTTGACTTTAAAACCATAAAGGGAATAATAAGTAAAACGAATATGAACAGAAAACAGATATGACCTTTAACATTTGTTTAACAAGACGAATGGAAAAAAAAAAATTAACAAAAAAACAACAAACCGTTATTTGCTTTTTGACAAATATTATCGTGTTATTTTGGGGGTTTTTGTTCTTAAAACAACATGCAACAAATGTTGAGCCTGTATATAGTCTGCCTGCCACCCTTTTGTTCATTGAGTTAAGCGGTATAAATTTCCACATGTCGCCATAAATATAAAAGGAAAATATATAAAATTTTTCTGTTTTTAAATTTCTTATCCATAAAAAAATATTTATTATTTTTGTAAAAACGATTTTTATTGGTAATGTTTTTGTTTTCTTCTCTATTTGTTAAAGAGGGGGAAACAGATAAATGTTTTTTTTTTTTGCAGTTGCTGTTGTCTTTTTTGCCAAATAACATGTGATTTCCGTTAAACGGAACTGGAAGTGATATCAAATACATATGCATACATGATATCAAATACACTCAGAGAAATAAAAATAGTTAATTTAGTTTAGTTCTAGTTTTTAGTTTAGTTCTAGTATTTAGTTTAGTTCTAGTTCAGTTTCAGTTCAGTTCTAGTTCAGTTCTAGTTCAGTTCTAGTTCAGTTCTAGTTAGTTCAGTTCTAGTTCAGTTCTAGTTCAGTTCTAGTTCAGTTCTAGTTCATTTCTAGTTCATTTCTAGTTCAGTTCTAGTTCAGTTCTAGTTCAGTTCTAGTTCAGTTCTAGTTCAATTCTAGTTCAATTCTAGTTCAATTCTAGTTCAGTTCTAGTTCAGTTCTAGTTCAGTTCTAGTTCAGTTCTAGTTCAGTTCTAGTTCAGTTCTAGTTCAGTTCAGTTCTAGTTCAGTTCAGTTCTAGTTCAGTTCTAGTTCAGTTCTAGTTCAGTTCTAGTTCAGTTCTAGTTCAGTTCTAGTTCAGTTCTAGTTCAGTTCTAGTTCAGTTCTAGTTCAGTTCTAGTTCAGTTCTAGTTCAGTTCTAGTTCAGTTCTAGTTCAGTTCTAGTTCAGTTCTAGTTCAGTTCTAGTTCAATTCTAGTTCTGTTCTAGTTCAGTTCTAGTTCAGTTCTAGTTCAGTTCTAGTTCAGTTCTAGTTCAGTTCTAGTTCAGTTCTATTTCAGTTCTAGTTCAGTTCTAGTTCAGTTCTAGTTCAGTTCTAGTTCAGTTCTAGTTCAGTTCTAGTTCAGTTCTAGTTCGGTTCTAGTTCTTTTCTAGTTCTGTTCTAGTTCTGTTCTAGTACTGTTCTAGTTCTGTTCTAGTTCAGTTCTAGTTCAGTTCTAGTTCAGTTCTAGTTCAGTTCTAGTTCAGTTCTAGTTCAGTTCTAGTTCAGTTCTAGTTCAGTTCTAGTTCAGTTCTAGTTCAGTTCTAGTTCAGTTCTAGTTCAGTTCTAGTTCAGTTCTAGTTCAGTTCTAGTTCAGTTCTAGTTCAGTTCTAGTTCAGTTCTAGTTCAGTTCTAGTTCAGTTCTAGTTCAGTTCTAGTTCAGTTCTAGTTCAGTTCTAGTTCAGTTCTAGTTCAGTTCTAGTTCAGTTCTAGTTCAGTTCTAGTTCAGTTCTAGTTCAGTTCTAGTTCAGTTCTAGTTCAGTTCTAGTTCAGTTCTAGTTCAGTTCTAGTTCAGTTCTAGTTCAGTTCTAGTTCAGTTCTAGTAGTTCTAGTTCAGTTCTAGTTCAGTTCTAGTTCAGTTCTAGTTCAGTTCTAGTTCAGTCTAGTTCAGTTCTAGTTCAGTTCTAGTTCAGTTCTCGTTCAGTTCTAGTTCAGTTGTAGTTCAGTTGTAGTTCAGTTCTAGTAAATTCTGATTTTAGTAAGAAATAAAAGTGATCACAGATTTTCATCGGTTTGGCCCTAGCTCCTCTAGTTTAGCCAGAAAATGGACTTTTAGGTTTCCACTCAAAAAATGGAGTTTGGTAGAAAGTGATCACAGATTTTCGTTGTTTTGGCCCTAGCTCCGCCAGAAAATGGACTTTTAGGTTTTCACTCAAAAATCAAATTTTGGTAGGAAATAAAAGTGATCACAGATTTTCATTGTTTTGGCCCTAGCTCCTCTAGTTTAGCCAGAAAATGGACTTTTAGGTTTTCACTCATAACATCGAATTTTGGTAGGAAATAAAAGTGATCACAGATTTTCATCGGATTGGCCCTAGCTCCTCTAGTTTAGCCAGAAAATGGACCTTTAGGTTTTCACTCAAAAAAATTGAATTTTGGTAGGAAATAAAAGTGATCACAGATTTTCATTGTTTAGGCCCTAGCTCCTCTAGTTTAGCCAGAAAATGGACTTTTAGGTTTTCACTTGAAAAATCGAATTTTGGTAGGAAATAAAAGTGATCACAGATTTTCATTGTTTAGGCCCTAGCTCTTCTAGTTTAGCCAGAAAATGGAATTTTTGGTTTTCACTGAAAAAATCGAATTGGTAGGAAATAAAAGTGATCACAGATTTTCATCGTATTGGCCCTAGCTCCTCTAGTTTAGCCAGAAAATGGACTTTTAGGTTTTCACTCAAAAAATTGAATTTTGGTAGGAAATAAAAGTGATCACAGATTTTCATTGTTTTGGCCCTAGCTCCTCTAGTTTAGCCAGAAAATGGACTTTTAGGTTTTCACTCAAAAAATCGAATTTTGGTAGGAAATAAAAGTCATCACAGATTTTCATCGGATTGGCCCTAGCTCCTCTAGTTTAGCCAGAAAATGGACTTTTAGGTTTTCACTCAAAAAATCAAATTTTGGTAGGAAATAAAAGTGATCACAGATTTTCATTGTTTTGGCCCTAGCTCCTCTAGTTTAGCCAGAAAATGGACTTTTAGGTTTTCACTCAAAAAATCGAATTTTGGTAGGAAATAAAAGTGATCACAGATTTTCATCGGATTGGCCCTAGCTCCTCTAGTTTAGCCAGAAAATGGACTTTTAGGTTTTCACTCAAAAAATCGAATTTTGGTAGGAAATAAAAGTGATCACAGATTTTCATCGGATTGGCCCTAGCTCCTCTAGTTTAGCCAGAAAATGGACTTTCAGGTTTTCACTCAAAAAATCGAATTTTGGTAGGAAATAAAAGTGATCACAAATTTTCATTGTTTAGGCCCTAGCTCCTCTAGTTTAGCCAGAAAATGGACTTTTAGGTTTTCATTCAAAAAATCGAATTTTGGTAGGAAATAAAAGTGATCACAGATTTTCATTGCTTAGGCCCTAGCTCCTCTAGTTTAGCCAGAAAATGGACTTTTAGGTTTTCACTCAAAAAATCGAATTTTGGTAGGAAATAAAAGTGATCACAGATTTTCACTGTTTAGGCCCTAGCTCCTCTAGTTTAGCCAGAAAATGGACTTTTAGGTTTTCACTAAAATTTAGGAAATAAAAGTGATCACAGATTTTCATTGTTTAGGCCCTAGCTCCTCTACTTTAGCCAGAAAATGGACTTTTAGGTTTTCATTCAAAAAATTGAATTTTGGTAGGAAATAAAAGTGATCACAGATTTTCATTGTTTTGGCCCTAGCTCCTCTAGTTTAGCCAGAAAATGGACTTTTAGGTTTTCACTCAAAAAATCGAATTTTGGTAGGAAATAAAAGTGATCGCAGATTTTCATCGGATTGGCCCTAGCTCCTCTAGTTTAGCCAGAAAATGGACTTTTAGGTTTTCACTCAAAAAATCAAATTTTGGTAGGAAATAAAAGTGATCACAGATTTTCATTGTTTTGGCCCTAGCTCCTCTAGTTTAGCCAGAAAATGGACTTTTAGGTTTTCACTCAAAAAATCGAATTTTGGTAGGAAATAAAAGTGATCACAGATTTTCATCGGATTGGCCCTAGCTCCTCTAGTTTAGCCAGAAAATGGACTTTTAGGTTTTCACTCAAAAAATCGAATTTTGGTAGGAAATAAAAGTGATCACAGATTTTCATCGGATTGGCCCTAGCTCCTCTAGTTTAGCCAGAAAATGGACTTTCAGGTTTTCACTCAAAAAATCGAATTTTGGTAGCAAATAAAAGTGATCACAAATTTTCATTGTTTAGGCCCTAGCTCCTCTAGTTTAGCCAGAAAATGGACTTTTAGGTTTTCATTCAAAAAATCGAATTTTGGTAGGAAATAAAAGTGATCACAGATTTTCATTGCTTAGGCCCTAGCTCCTCTAGTTTAGCCAGAAAATGGACTTTTAGGTTTTCACTCAAAAAATCGAATTTTGGTAGGAAATAAAAGTGATCACAGATTTTCACTGTTTAGGCCCTAGCTCCTCTAGTTTAGCCAGAAAATGGACTTTTAGGTTTTCACTAAAAAAATTGAATTTTGATAGGAAATAAAAGTGATCACAGATTTTCATTGTTTAGGCCCTAGCTCCTCTAGTTTAGCCAGAAAATGGACTTTTAAGTTTTTACTCAAAAAATCGAATTTTGTTAGAAAATAAAAGTGATCACAGATTTTCATTGTTTATTTCCTCTAGTTTAGCCAGAAAATGGACCTTTAGGTTTTCACTCAAAAAATCGAATTTTTGTAGGAAATAAAAGTGATCACAGATTTTCATTGTTTTGGCCCTAGCTCCTCTAGTTTAGCCAGAAAATGACTTTTAGGTTTTCACTCAAAAAATCGAATTTTTTTAGGAAATAAAAGTGATCACAGATTTTCATTGTTTTGGCTCTAGTTTAGCCAGGAAATGGACTTTAAGTTTTCACTCCAAAAATCAAATTTTGGTAGGAAATAAAAGTGATCACAGATTTTCATCGGATTGGCCCTAGCTCTTCTAGTTTAGCCAGAAAATGAACTTTGAGGTTTTCACTCAAAAAATCGAATTTTGGTAGGAAATGAAAGTGA